CATGCAGGGGTCTGCAACCGCTGGCTCCAGGGCCACATGTGGCTCTTAGTCGCTCTGTACCCCCCCCCCCCCCCCACACACACACACATCACCTGGTTTTTGCTGCTTAAAGTGACTAAAATGAGACGAAAGGAGCAAAACCCACGGATCAGTTCAAACTCCATTTGTGTTTTTCTCTGAAATCTTAAGAATTAATGTTTGAACACATTTAGACATAATGCTGGGGGGGGGGGGGTGAACGTGCACTGTTGCACAGAAACATGACGACACGTTGGAGTATTTGATTAAAACTAATGAAAGTTTAAATAAATTAAATACAAAGAAATTTATTGAGCAGCAATTGTGCGACTAGTTGACCGGATTCCTTTTAGTCCATCGTAATGATTGATTGATTCTGTTTGTTACGTTGAAAAGAAACTTCTTGATTAATTTTCCACAACGACGGTTTGAAGTTTAAACTCGTCAGAGGAGGAATAAAACGGAAAAGTTCTTCTCGTTTGTCAACAAACTGAGCTCTTGTCTTCATTTCTTGAGTCAGATTTAGAACTGGACCTTTGGGCTGTAAAAGTTGCAGACTCCTGCTTCAGAGCAGACAAACCTTAAATTATAGGTGGGGGGGGGGGAGGGGGCGGGGTTTAAACAAACAGGGGGGAATCGTTGACCTCGTCGCAGCGAGGTGTTATTTTCCTCATGTCTTTATTTACCTTCGCTGGCGTGCGTGGTGGTCCGGGGTGTGATGGGCCCAGTTTGTGACCCAGTGTGTGAGTGGAAGGACGAGGGTGGGGTGGTGTTTGTCCCCCCCCCCCCCCTCAGAGCAAAGAAAACGTCAGGTTTTCTTCAGCTGTGAAATCTCTGAATTTTAAGAGCTGCTCGTTGTCCCGACTCTTGTGGTGGAGCACATTCCTTCACTCTTTGTTCTCCGGTAATTTTATTCAATCCAACTTTATTTATAAAACACTCTAAAAAAAAAAAACAACGTACAGGCCCAAAGTGCTGTCAATTAAAATTAAA